CCCAAGAGACCTCTTAATTAGAGCGACCACCACCAGCACCTCCCCGGCAACATAGGCCTTTGTGACGCATCGCGGAGGTATGCAAGAGCAGGTAAAAATATCTTGTAGGCCTAGGCGAGGATTGGGCGATAATCCGCCAGGAGCTGATACTGTGGTCTGGCTCCTCGCTGGCATCCGGGACCTCTCGCCCCGTGGCACGCGTGGCTCGCTGGCACTCCTCCTTGTCCTCGCGTCCCTTGCCCTGTTGGTCCTCTCAGCTGGCCCTCTGGCTCGGGGTCGTACGCTGGCTGTCTGTGTTTTTTTTTTTTTTTTTTATTGTTAAGGTCTGTGTGTTCGTTATTCTGTCTCTGTTTGGTTGTTTATTTCGCTTTCCGCCTATCGTTCTTTTTCTCTTCTCTCTCTTTCTGTCTCTCATTCTCTTCTCGCATTCTCTTCTCTCTCTCTCTCTCTCTCTCTCTCTCTCTCTCTCTCTCTCTCTCTCTCTCTCTCTCTCTCTCTCTCTCTCTCTCTCTCTCATTCTCTCTCTCTCTCATTCTCTCTCTCTCTCTCATTCTCTCTCTCTCTATCTATCTATCTATCTATCTATCTATCTATCTATCTATCTATCTATCTATCTATCTATCTATCTCTATCAATCTATATATCTATCTCTATTTATCTATCTGTCTATCTATCTATCAGTCTATCTATTTACCTATCTGCCTATCTGTCTATCAGTCTATCTATTTGCCCATCTGTTTATTTACCTGTCTCCATCTCTTTGTCTTTGTCTACCTACCTGTTTCTATCTCTACTTTTGTTTCTATCAATCTCTATTCTTTGATAAAGAAAAAGATGGATTTGCACAGAGAAACAGACAGACAGCCAAATGAACGGACAGACAGACGGACAGACAGACAGAGAATCAGACAGCCAAACAGACAGAGAAGCAGACAGACCAGACAGGCAAACATAGACAGACAGAGAAGCAGATAAACCACACAAACAGACAGGCAAACATAGACAGACAGAGAAGCAGATAAACCAGACAGACAGGCAAACAGACAGACAGAGAAGCAGACAGACCAGACAGACAGAGAGACAGACAGACGGACCGATAGACAGACAGACAGACAGAGACAGGCAGCGAAACGCTTATATAAAACAACTCGACACCGATAGACTTACGTACAATAGACACACATATATGAACAAATCAAGACAATCAAAGATGCAAAATACCCCCCCCCCCCCCCGCATACACACCATAAGAAAGACAAAAGACAAAAAAAAAGACAAAGAAAAGAGAAAAGAGAAAAAGAAAAAAAAAAAAACACGACTACGCAGCAGCAGCAGTTCAGAAAAGCGTAAAAAAACATAATTTCGTTTTTTTCCATCTCCATGTTGATTAATATTTGCAGAGAAGATCCAGCGCCGGTTGAGCGAAAATTGAGAAATCTGATCATTCGGCGTGAAAGGCGAGGCGAGACGGAGCGGCCTGAGTTCACAATCGTGTTCAAAAGGTTCAATGGAGATTTTTTTTTTTTTGGGGGGGGGGAGGAGGGGGGGGGAGGAAGAGGAAAGGCGAGGGAGGAGGAGAATGAGAGGAAGGATGGGAGAGAGAGAAAGATGATGAGGGAGGGAGGGAGAGAGAAAGATGATGAGGGAGGGAGGAAAGGATTAGAAAGAAAGGAAAGGAATGGAAAGAAAGAGGGAGAGAGGGAGAGAGAAAGATGATGTGGGAGGGAGGAAAGAGGGAGGGAGGGAGGGAGGGAGGGAGAGGAGGGAAGGAGGAAGGCAGGGAGGAGGGGGATGTGAGGAAGTATGGGAGAGAGAAAGAAGATGAGGGAAGGAGGAAAAAGGGAGGGAGGGAGAGAGAAAGATGACGAAGGAGGGAGGGAGGGAGGGAGGGAGGGAGGGAGGGACGGACGAAGGGAGAGAGGGAGGCAGGGACGGACGAAGGGAGAGAGGGAGGCAGGGAGGGAGAGAAGGAGGGAGGGAGGAAGGATAGGAGAGAGAAAGATAATGAGCGAGTGAGGAGAGAGGGTGGGAGGAAGGGAGGGAGGAGTGAGGGAGAGAGAGAGAAAGATGATGAGGAAGAGAGGAGAGAGGAGAGAGGGAGGCAGGGAGGCAGAGAGAAAGATGATGAAGGAGGGAGGAAGGAAATGAGAGAAAGGATGGGATGGGAAGGGGAAAAGACAGGGTGGAAGGAGAGAGGAAGAGGAAGGAGGGAGGGATAGGAGAGAAGGAGGGAGGAAGTGAGAAGGAGGAGAGGAGGGAAATGAGGGAAGGAGAAGGAGAGAAGGAGGAGGATGGGAGGAGGGAAAGGAAAGAGAGAGGAAAGGAGTAGGAGAAGAATGGGAGGACAAGGAAGTGAGAAGAGAACAGGAAAGGGAGAGGAAAAGGAGAAAGAAAGCAACAGTAAAGGAAGGAAATGGGAGAAGAGGAAAGAAAGGGAGAGAATGACGAGAGGAGTGGATAAACATAGGGGGAGAGGACGGGGAAAGGGGGGAGGGAAAAA